GCCCTAATCAGTACTTTTCTCTTTGCTTTAGCACGAGGGATGGCAAACATTTTCTGGAAAGTGCCTAATAATACCTATTTGGGGCTATGCAGCTTATACAGTCTTTAGATCAGTTTAGCACTGCCCATCTGGCTGAGAGACTAGTCACCTAGAAAGTTCCCTCAAGGCACCACAGTGCAGGCCCTTAGATGAGGCTTTGACCCAGGGGCCTAAGCAACTACATACGGTCTTGTAGCCCTGACCTTCCCAGACCCCCTTGCTGTCTTGGCCCAAGGGGAACAATGATTTGCTCCCCAAAGGTCCCCTCTCTTGAGGGCTGCGGCATCTCAGAAGACCCTTCTTTCCCACTCATGGCCCCCCAACAGCAGATATGGGGAAATCATCCTGAGTCTGGGGATTGCGTGGATCACCGGGCTCTGGGCCTGCCCCCAGCCCTGATGGCTCCTTCAGAGCCCAACACACGGGGCCTTCTAGAATTCTTTATCAGAGCACATTGGTTAGGTCGCTCTTACATGGCTCAGAGTGGAACATGTCAGATATCATCATCATTTGTCTGTGCCAGTTTGTCCCCTAGTCTGTACACTCCTGAGTGGTGGAGCTCCACCCTTCCCCGCTTCATGCTCACCTGCACAAAGGAAGGAAAGTAGAATGCCCTGCAGTGTCTGGCACATAGTAGGAGCGCACAGAGTATAACTGGATTGAAATGGGGACAATACTTCATAGCAGTAAAGGTAACACACGCAGCATGGCATTTTCCACGATGGCAGAGAGAGTCTTTGCATGGCAAGTTAGAGCCAAGACTAGGAGCAGACACTAGGGATCCCAGATCCTGGGCCATGGGTCTCCTCTAGCCCTCTGCTCCATTCAAGACTCCAACCTCCCTTCCAGCCCCAAGCCAGGGAGGTCTCTGAGGCTTATTCCCTAAGACTTGGCCTAGAGTTGCTAGGAGGACACCGGGTTCTGCCATCCCAAGCTGCACTGGCAAGTTTTACCTTTCTAACCCAGGGGTAACCCTACCTTCGCTGAAGTCTTCAGCTCACCCCACTGGGCAGCCCCTAGAGGCACAGATGTCCCGTCCAGGCCCAGGCAGAGCTCCCCGGCTACACTGTGGCGGGAGAAGCGGTCGCAGGTCCTCAAGGTCAGCGTCAGGCTGGCTGTGGGGAGCTCCTCCTCCGCCAGGGGGAGCACCAGGCCCTCCTCCCAGGTGGTGTGCAGCTGTCGCTTCTTTAGGGCTGTCTGCGCCTCCACAGAGCCAGTCCTATTGGCCACACTCCCTTGGACATAGCAGTCACAGCCTCCATCATGGTTGCTGGTCACAGCTGCAGGCAAGGAGAACAACACAGGCATGGGACTTCCTGAGGACAAGTGGAGGGGGCAGAAGCATGCCTTGCTTAGGGCTGTGGAATCCAACTTAATGATGTGACCTTGGGTGTCTGAAAAGCTGACCATGCCGGGCACCAGGGAATCGCCTCTCACTGAGACATTTAGAAATAGATCATTTGAGGAGGCTGGCCTCAGCACATGCTGATTCTCTTTCTTGGAGAACAAGGACAAGACTTGGCATTTCCTGGAGCCCCCTGAACTCCGGATTCTGAAAATGTGCCAAGGTGCCAGGACTTGCTGCTGGGGGCCTTTACTAGTGGTGCTGCTGACACATAACTGTTTGTTCTGAACTTTAAATAGTCACCATGTAACCATTTTCCATGCGAATCACTTGGCTGTTACCTCATGAGTGAGTGTGGCTTTATGTTCTGAACCTTGGTGTTTTCAAAGCTTCACAATGTGTGGATCTGCCCAGAAATTTACACTTTTGGTGCTTTTCTGACTGGCTCTTCAGTGATCATTTGGAAAGTGGTAGCTGACATTTCACAGGAAGAGAAGATGAAGAACTGAGGCTATATGTCTTAATAGCAAGAGCTTTCCACTGAACTTCAAGGGACTACTTAGTTCTGGCTCTGTCACCAGGTAGATGCAGTGATCTTTGACAAGTCATACGACTTGCCAGACCTCAGTTTCCTAATCTGTAAAACGCACTAGTGTGAAGACCAAACACAATAAAGTATAGGAGGAAGGTGCTTTAAAATCTTAAAAGATAATACAAGGAAAAAGATTTTAATAATAATAAGATAACACAAGGAAAAAGAAAATAGAATTATATATAAAATTCCAATTTATCTGACCCCATTGCTAGCCCTGATTTCTCTGCAAAGTCGTAGCTTTATTTACTGTCCTTAAAGTGAACTGTCAGGATAGAGAAACCAAGGACATCCTGCCACCCTTAGGCTGCTTGGCTCTTAGATTGTAGAAGTTTTTCTGACCATTCGGAACACCCTCTGTGTACAGCACAAAGCCCTGTCCAATTTCAAATTCATCTATGGCAGAGATGGCTAGCTCTTCACCCCAAACTCATTGCCTTTCCTTCCTGGGCACCCACCAACCCACATTCCCCAGCCTGCTTTGCAGTTGGGTGTGCTCATGTGACTGAGTTATAGCCAATGGGATGCAAGCGGAAGTGACGTCCACCAAGTCCAGGTAAAGGCTGTTAAGGAATGATCGTGCCCTCTCCTTCTCTTTCTCCTTCCATCTGCCAGATACAGATGGCAAGGATACAGATGACAAAGAGGGGGTTATGGAGCCACAGCTGGAAGGAGCCTGGTCCTTGAATCACCATTTGGAGAAAAAATGTTTGCTAACCAGGAATCCCCACTTTGGACTGTTGGGGTTGGGGATATGGGAAATCTTTGTGTCTAAGCTCCATGTGTTCCAGGGCCTGGTTGTTAGAGTCCTAATCCTGTGCTCCCTCCAGCTGCGGATGATCCATCCTGTCTGCACAGCTCCTCCAGGAGAGACAGACACACAGAAGCCCACGAGAGTCAAATAAGAGCAGTACCTTCCAGGCGAGTCACAAACAATTCAGCCTTCTGACGGTCATAGTCCAGGCAGTAGTGGAGTTTGGGGGCCTGGTTCCAACTGGCAGCCTTTTCTGGGTTCCAGGTCTCCATGACACAGACATCCTCCACCACACCTGTTAAGAAAGGCAAAATCATCACTGCCACCCACACTGGGGTTCTGCTTTCCTGATTACACCTTTCCCATCTCTATCACCTATGCCAGAAACCCAAATCCAAGTCTTCCCAGCTGTGTGCAGAATCACAGTGGCCACACCAAGACAATACACGGGGTCAATGTCACAGTCCATTAGGCGGCATCTGTGTCCACTGGCTCCCTCACCAACCACACAAAACAAAACAGAGACTACACAACAATCCATTCTCCCTGCTTTATGTTTTGTCTTTCTAAAAGGCCTACATATTCTTTGGGTCAGGGACAACAGTGTCTCTTCTTCCCATATCTTCCCCAGTGCCCAGCAGCAGCATGGTACACCTAAAGGTTCCGCACTCTTGATGCGGATGCTGATGAAAAAGAGAGTAGAAATAGTAACGATATGTTTTGGCTGGGTGTGATGGCTCATGCCTGTAACCCCAGCACTTCGAGAGGCCAAGGCAAGAAGACCACTTGAGCCCAGGAATTTGAGACCAGCCTAGGCCACATAGTGAGATCTCATGTCTACAAAAAATAAGCAAAAATTATCTGGGCGTGGTGACATGCACCTGTAGTCCTAGCTACTCAGGAGGCCGAGGTAAGAGGATCACTGGAGTCTGGGAGATTGAGCCTGCAATGGCCCATGATCATGCCACTGAATTCCAGCCTGGGACACAGAGCAAGACCCCAGCTCAAAAAAAAAAAATTACTTGGGACCTTAACTCAAAAAAACAACAAAAAATCCAATACGTTTTTTGTTACCTCTTTTGTGCCAGGCCCTGAATTAAGCATTTTATGTGCGTTATTTTATCTACACTTTACAACTCCCCTACCAGACAGATAATAGTCTAGTCCCATTTTATGGATGAAGAAACTGAGGTTCGTGGAGTTACAGCATGACCCATGCCACATAGCAAGTATATGAAAGGGCAGCAAATTAAACCCATGACTCTGAAGCCCATGGTTTTAACCATGGCTCTTTATCCTCTCTTATAGTTGCACACATATGACTTGAAAGGGACTCCATTTCCCAGTGGAAAGTTGGCAGCCTGGGGGAGAAGTGCTATGGCAACACGTTGTCAGGAAGGAAGGATCATGATTCCGAGGCCTAGTGCCCACCTGCTTGGCCGGTGCCAAATGCTGGGGCACTCAGCCTCCTCATCAGGTCACACACAGCATCTACAGAGACATTGACAAGCCCCACTGGAGGGCTGCCCATGGAAGTGCAGGGGGCAGGAGACCCCTACCATTCTGAGGGAGGATGAACAGCTCCTCTGTGACCTGCCTCTTGAGGCGACTGTCATTCGGGGGTTGGGGGCTGGCAGGTGCAGTGGGCTCCTCCGTGGACCTCAGTGAGTAGTCTGCATAGTTGATCACCTCTGGAGCCGTCACAGCTGGCCTGGGTCCATAGATGTCTGGGAACTTGAGGAGGGCACGGGGCTGAACAGGTTCCGTGGATTTTTTAACGTTGAACTGCAAACACAAATTACTCTGATTAGTCCACAAAGGAGCACTCCTGTCTATTTACCCCCATGGAAGGGAGAAGCGATGAACTGACGTGTTGTAGGAGGCAGAGGGAGAGGTGTGGTTCCATTCTGCTCCGAAGAGCACAACCTTTCACACTCACTCGAATCCGCAGTCCACTGAGATGTGGGCCCTGTTCATCTACCCCTCCTCCATCCATCGGCCCATCCATCCTATGGCTGTGCCCATGGTTATTGCCTGGACCTGCTGCAGGTGGTTGCCCCTCTGCTGCTCTCATCTGCTCCCTTGCCTCTTCATTCTCCCCTCTCTCTTCCTCCCTCCTCTTCTCCACCTAATGGCTCAGAAATGCCAGTGGCTCCCACCACACTTGGAGCAAAATTCAGACTCTCTGCAGCTTGCCTAGCTTGATCCTGCTCATCTGTCTGATATCGCCCCCAATCCTTCCTTTGCTCACCTGCAGTCACTGAGCTCCCTGCTTCTCAAACAGCTTGGGCTCTTTCCTTGGTCCAGCTTCCAGCTCCTAACTTTTCCTCCCAAACCGCCCACCCCTACCTCCACCTGCTTTTTGCATGGCCGGCTCCACCTCACACCTGAAGTCTGACCAAGGAGTCCATCTCTAACCTTCCAATCTAAATTAAATCCCTCCCCCAAGCCTGTCCCTCCCTATCACCACATCCCACTCTTTTGCTTCACAGCATTGATCTCACCCTATATTGTTTTGATCATAGGCTGGCCTGTTTGTAGTAAGTATCTCCCACTAGCATGTGAGATCTATTAGCACAGGAATTATGTCTTGTCTTGCTCCTGCCTAGATCAGCCTGGTCCAAAGCCCACTGCCCCCATGGCTCTTGATGTTTGCCCTGTCTTCAAGTCTTTCCCCAGCAGAGCAGTCCCCATCAGAAACATTTATCATTATCTTGTTACGCACAGCAACTAGTCACCCTGGGAGAGACATGCATGACTCGCAAAATCAATTTCCCTTTGCACCTCCACCCACACTGAGAGTGTCACTGGGCATCAAGTTGCTGTGTCCCTTGTGCCTAGCATGGTGTCAGCTCACAGGGAGTATGCAATAAATACCTGTGACTAGGGCTGCCATGTTGTATGGTTTGTGCACTGCACAAAAGTCTCCGGATGAGGACAGAGTAGAAGCCAAAATGCAGCCTGTGTACCACTTGTCCAGTTGTGTGCTCTAGGCTAGGCCCTTTTCGGTCGGAAAAAAGGGGAATCTTTCTTTTCGAAAAGACCCACCTGCTTGTCAACCCTTAAGTCCGTGGGGCCCCTCACAGAGAGAAGTGGGATCTTCTGTCTCTCCCTTCTAGTTGAGAGACTCAAAGTTATATGACAGGTAGCAAGAGGAGCCTTCCCGGTCCTCAGGATTGAAGACCAGGTCTAGAGCTTAAATTGCTGGCACCTGGGTGGGCAGCCCACAAAAGGGCCCTCAGATTAGACAGGCAGATCTGAAGACTGAGATCTACGACTGAGTTCCCAAGAAGCCTCCTGCCCTGCATGCTGGCCCTGCTGGCCCTCCTGGCCCTCCCATCTCTGTGGCTGAAGCGGGTAGTGGGTGCAAATGGCTGGCAGCAGGACTCAGGCTGCCCTGCCCAGTGGCAGGAGTGACCCTGCACTGCGTAGGGGTGGAACTGGACGTGGTCTGGAAGGAGAGGCACTTAACAGTTTGCACTGTTTCAAAAAGTTGTGTTTCTAATTTTTGTACCCTCTTTAATTATCCCAGGATGCATCCTGGACATTCTGCCCCGGTTGAGACTCTGTCCCCAACCATTCCCGAAGGAGGCTGGACCTAGGTGATAGGGACATTCCTTAATTAGTTTCATCCATTGGACATAAGAAGCTGCAGCAGGGCCCAAAGGGGCAGGAAACAGGGGCTGGCCTCTCGGTGACCTCTTGGACAACCTCTTCCTGCTGGGCCCCCTATCCTGCTGCTGCCCCTGCATTTTCACGTTTTCTTCTAAACTTCCCTAAAAGGTAGAGATTATCCTTCTTGTACAGATAAGGGTACAGATAAGGAAACTGAGGCTCGGAGGAGATTTAAGAAACCCTCAATTCTCCTCTCAGAAACACTGCACAGTAGATTATAATGTAACCCAAGCGAGGACCTGATTGTATCCTGATCACCACTGAGTGTGCCTGGCACACATGAGCTCTAAAAGCATTTCTGACTACGGTGGAGTGAAGTCACTTGGAATCATGCAGCTGGTGACGGCAGCAGCAGAGAAAGCCTAGATCAGCCTGGCCCAAAGCCCACTGCCCCCAGGGCTCTTGACACTTTTCTTGCCTCCAAATCTTTCCCCAGCACAGCAGTCCCCATCGGAAACATTTATCATTATCTTGTTACACACAGCCACCAGTCACCCCGGGAGGGACATGCATGATTTGCAAAATCAGGCCCCCTTTGTACCTCCACCCCCACTGAGAGTGTCACTGGCATCAAGGAGGCTAGCTTCCGGTACCAACCCTACCGCTGGAGCCAGGTCACTTTGGGCAGGTAATTCCACCTCTCTGGGCCGTCACCTTAAGTGATAGGTGATTTGCAGGCTATCCCACTCCACATTCTGAGTTGCTTTTTCAGGCTGCAAAGAGGTGAGAGACACCACTGCTTTATTTTCAGGTATAGGTGAGTTGGAGATGATCACAAACAGGTGAAATAAATTAGTATCTTTGGCCACTCAGGACCGCAACACAGAAGCGGACGGGAGGCAATATGTGTAAATAACACCTGATAGCCTGTGCACAGTACATGCAGGACACAATCAGAGGTGCCCAGGAGGCCGAGCTGGCCTTCAGGGAGGAGCCAGGGTGTGACTGAGACCTTGAAAGAGAGGGTGATTTAGAAGGCAGGGGTGAAGACCGGGGTTGGGGAAGTAAAATTCTGTGCTCCTGACACCAGATGCTCAGGGCCCTTGGAAGAGACACAGAGTAATGACTAATGTCGCCATCTTTCTATCCTATACAAAGTCACCTCCACTTTCAATATTTCATATAACTCTGTATTACCTTCATCCTACTGTTTCACAATGAGGAAATTGAGGCTCAGGGAAGCTCGCAATCATACAACTGACAAGTGGTATGTATCATAAAGCCTCTAGATGTTTTCACTTCAAAATTCACGTCATTTCCATTGTCCTGCAGCTGCTTCTCAACACCACCCCCTCGCCACCCCCTGCAAAATCCCTGTTGGTCTTGCCACTGGATTCTAAAAGACAACCACAGCATCTCAGGGGCCCACCCGCTGCCACTCCCTCCCATTCATCGGCACAAAAGTGCTCCCAGAGGCTGCTGGGCCTCAGCACACACCTGACTTAAAGTCACGTCACCCTCTGCTCTCACTTGGTTGGGACCAGAACTAAGACTGTTTGGGTGGCCCGGGAAACATTTTTTGTGTTTATATTTGGTTTCATCCCAATTCAATCATCTGAGAAAAGGGCTGGGCTTCATTCCCAGTTCGATGCAATTTGGATGATTTTGCATTTTCAAGGGGGAAATAATCACTGGGCTCAGCTCTGAGTGAAGTTCACTCTGTGTTGCCTCGAGTCGTGACAGAGTCTGGCTCTGCCTTCCTCCCTCCTCAGTGGATCTCAGTTTGTGTGTCCCTGATAACCTCAGGAGCTTGTTACCAGAGCTTAAAATGCACTCCTAGAGCAAAAGATTGGGCATTTCTTAGTTGTCTACCAATACCCATTCCCTCTCCCCTCCACCCGCCCTCCACATCACCAGGTTGTCTAGGTTCCATCCCATCCCCAGCTCCCAGGAAGAGGGTCAGATCTTTCTATTTCTTGGCATTATCTTGGTGACCGATTCCTAGGGGTTGGCACTCGTCCTGGGGAAGCCAACCCAGATGGAAGGGAGGGACTTGGATTCCACAGTAGTAGAAGTCCCCTCCTCCCTGGACAGGAAGCGGGTGGCCCTGCCTTGTGACTGCAAGGTGAGTCAGCCTTGGGGCAGCAGTGTGGAGAGACAGAAAGAACCCGTGTCCTTGATGGCAATGTCATTAAGCTGCTCAGCCAACCAGTCCTGCAATCTGTCCTGCCTCTGCATTTCAAGTTACATGAGCAATACTGTTCTTATTGTTTAAGCCAGTTTGAATTGGGACCTTGCAACCCAGAGCATCCCAAACTGATGCATTGCCTTTTTCACAAGCATCACAGGAGATCATGACCCTGGTGTGGAGAAACTGGGCCTGGGGTAGAAAGAACCCCTCTTGAATCTCGGCATCCAGCCCAAGGCATCCTCATTTGCTGTTTATTCTTTTCCCACTTTATCCTGTGTGGTAAATGGCTGGCTTTAGCTGGGAATGACTTACGGCCTTTGCCCAGGCCAAGAGCAGAGTCTGATGACAGCTACACGAGTCTCTTCAAGGAGCAAAAGCAGCAGCTCATTACGTATCTCCTTCTCTTGTACAATCTTATTTACTGCATTTCAAACTTGGTTCCATCACATCTTTCAAATGCATCTATCTTTGCACTTAAATAGCTGAAACGTCAGTGCCAGACAAACAGAAAATAGGTTCAAAGGTTGAGAGAGGGAGCCTGGGAGAGGGTCCTAGGTGAAGAACAAGAATGTCTGGGGGAAGGAGGTGCTCAGGGTAGCAGGGCCCTAGAGAGAGACCTTGCTCCAGCCTTCCACCATGGGTGCATGAGGGGCAGGACTTAGAATCAGATATTCTCTGTCTATGTGTCCCTTGAAGCCCAGGAATAGGGCCTGGGAAGTATATCTGCAGGATGAATAAGGTAAGATTTCCAGGGGAGACAGGCATTCAACAATTAGGGGATGGGTGCACAGCTGTGCTTGGCATTGCATGTGCATCTGGATAGAAGAATC